GGCACTGCGAGTGACACTGCATGGATCCCTGCTGGGTGCCTGGTCCTGTCCTAGTGCAGAGTTGGAAGCAGGCAGGAAGCTCACTGCTCTAGTGACATGGCCGAGGCCCGGCCGGCACCTGCCTCTAAAATAGCCCTGTGTTTCCAAAGGCCATGGCCCTTCTGTGCTTCTTGGGCCTGGACAGGGATCTGCACACACAGGATTGTGCCCTGAGGTTCCCTTGTTCAGGGTCCCCCCATCTGACCCTGCTCACCCCACTGTGGGGCTGTACGAACCCAAGGAAACGACTGACCTGCTGCCGAAATCAGGAAACTGTGAGATCATGCTCCTAAGTTTCAGTGCCCTCGGCTGAAAAGCAGGCACTGTGAGACCTGCCCACCCTGGTCCCAGGGCTTTTGGGGACCAACAAGGAGAAAGAAGGCTCAGTTGGCTTCCGCCCCTGGGCCCTGGGAAGGGAAGATTGTCTCCGGGGTGGAAGCTCCATGTGCTAACTGTGCCATGGCTCATGTGAAATGGGGCCTCTTCTGACTCCTTGTCCCCGGAACTGAGATGGTCAGCACTTGAAGGGACCCAAGAAGAACACCCCTCTTTGGTGCTGCCACGCAGTGGCTGCCACCAGGGGGCATCCTGGCAAGCAAGGCTCTTGGGTTGACTTGGATGCGAGTTTAGGGAAAGACCTCAAGAGAAACAGGACCTGACCAGGGAGGAAGTCCAGGATGGCAAACAGCAGAACCACAGCTCCGGCCTTGCAGAAAGGGCTCCCGGACACCCCTAGGCCTGTGCACAGTTAGCCCGGGAGCTCCTTCTGGCTGCCGGCCTTCGGTCAAGGGCAGGAGCCTGGCACGTGCTGTTCTACCAGCTTTGAAAAATACGTTAAATATGGAATGCATATTGCAAGCAAGCACAGTCATGGAAACCAAGTCAACACTGCACTATTTTTTTAAAATTTAGTTTTGCTTTGCCTCTTCCCCGTAGCTTTCTTCCGCCCCGTGTTTTCATTCTAACCCTGGTTACGATCCTGGATCCACTGCAACATTCACAATGAGGCACGGGAAAAAATGGAACAATCTTGATCATATTTTAAGCCACAAAGTAATATTTCCAAAGCAGAGTGCAAATAGAATTTTACATAATGCACAGAATAAATGCCTCTGAAAATCAATATTTCCAGCTGGATGTACAAATTAAATGATGATATTCAAGTGCGAGATTAAAACAATGATTTAAGATAGGAATTGAGTTATGCTACCTCATGCCTGCCTACCGCTGAATATGTTAACAGAACAGATCTGTTAGTACCCAGTCCATTTATCTCCCCAAACAGGAGGTGGAGGTTGCTGCCTGAAGGTGAGCGGGACGGTCAGCAACACCTCTCGAGGTAGATTTGAGCAGCAAGGCTGCACAGCCAGGCACCTGTGTAGGAGCCCAGGCCCTGGGTGTCATTTATTCTCCCCTTTCAAGGCGCAGTGGGTTCTGCTCACACCTGTTAGAGTCTCCTCCTAGGGCTGCTAGCAGCAACCCCGGGACAGCAGCAGGTGTCACTCTCGTGAAGCTCTGGACACTTTGCACAGCTGAAAATCCCCGATCAGGGCTGAAACCTGCGCCCGTTTCCACACTCGAGCGGCAGGAAGATAAGAACAAACTTTAAAATCCCAGCTAATCCTTACTTGGCTCATAAGCAGTGTTATTTAAATCCCGCTTTTAAATTGTGCTTCTCTAGCTGATGTTGGTGGCAGAGTTGCCACAGCCAATGTCAACCTGCACTTGACAGTGTTAGTTCCCGGGCTCTGCACCTGGCCAGTGCACGATTCAAAGCCAGTCACAGTCCTCACCAGCTGGGACTCTACCAGCACCATCCTGCTGGCTGCACACGGCACAAGGCAGGTGGCCAGGCTGCCCTGTCTCCCCGTGCTGGGCATGATCCCTGCCCTGTGCCCCACCTCCAGGATGCCTGATGAGCCTCATTCAGAAAAATAAACTTATTTAAATGAATTCAGCAGCTATTTGCAATACATGTCATCATGGCCAGATGTTCCAGCACTTTAACATTAATTTGTTTGACCCTTGTAACAGCTCTCATGTAGGTCCCTTGCTCTCTCCACCTTACATGTGGGGAAACTTGACTGGTGAGTTCTGGAACTCAGATCTCCAGCCACTCTTGGTCTCACAAAGCAGCTGTAGTAACCGCCAAGAATTTAAGGAAGTTTGGCTCTTATTTTTCCTTTCCCATGTATGGGACCAGGAATGAATGCCTCGCAAAGGACTGACCATCCTAACAGGAACAGTGCTGAGCACTTCACCCATTCAAAAAGTGTGTGTTCAGCACACGTGTGGTGAGCAGGCAGCGGCGGACAAGAACAGGTGAAAACCCTGCATATCACTCATAACTTCGTGCACCTGCCGGGCTGGCTGCAGCCGGGCTTCCTTCCCTGGTCCTCAGACTGATCTCACCTGAAGTTCTGAACGGAAGCTCCTATTTCCTCAAGCAGTCATGCTAGGGCTCTCCCACAATAGATTCCACGGCACGTTACAACACCTTTGTATGAAATTAGAAAAACCAATATTCACCTCGGGATTGTGCAATAAATAGAATTTATTAAAGTACTTGTGAATTACCTCCAGTGAGAGATTCATCTTTGATCCAGATTTTAATAAGGATTATATAATCATAATGAGCCATAATAAAAGAGCCGAAGCTGAATAATCCACTTTATGACCAGTATTATTACGAGCCCCCATTTATTACAATTCATCAGATATTTAAAGCATATGTAAATGTTGCAATATGAAATAGAGGCAGAACAAGAATTATGGTATATGTCTGTGTAAATTTATCTTCCTGACACCTAAGGTCTCCAGACTCCTGAAGCCTGTGCTATCAAAGGGATCTCAGCAGAAGAAGGTTACAAAAACGTGGCTTTGGGTCTCGGGAAACAAAAGCGAACATCTCACTGCAGAAACGGCCATCTCTCCCCGTACAGAGGAAATCTGAAGGCTCTGGGATTCAATTTTATGAGGACTAGAACACATCTAGGTTAACTGAATACTGAACCTTTCACCAAAAGGGCTCAGATCCTATCTAAACTGTCTAATTCCCTGCATTAGCAGGTCCATTATGTGGAGCACGTGAAGCCTTAGTGATCAGAGCCCAGGCCCGAGCAGTATGCGGACACAGCAAGCCAGCAGCACGAAGACGGAATGCCCTGCTCAGACGGCAGCCAGCGCCTGCGTCGCCGGCCAGGTCCCGAGCGTGGCCTTAGCTGGGTGCTCAGGTGGTGTCCGGATCATCTCGGTCACCTGCTCTCCGCCTGAATTCCCAGCTGTGGTCTCTTATCTTCCACACTGGGCACCCTGCGCCCCCCCCCCCAACTGCCATGTTTCATTTTGATGTGCCCTCTTCCCAAGTCGTGCAGTAAAATCTTAAGGAGGAAAAGGAGAAGAGAAGGAGAAGGAGAAGGAGAAGGAGAAGGAGAAGGAGAAGGAGAAGGAGAAGGAGGAGAAGGAGGAGAAGGAGAAGGAGAAGGAGAAGGAGGAGAAGGAGAAGGAGAAGGAGAAGGAGAAGGAGAAGGAGAAGGAGAAGGAGAAGGAGAAGGAGAAGGAGAAGGAGAAGGAGAAGGAGAAGAAGGAGAAGGAGAAGGAGAAGGAGACAGGGGAGGGGAGGGGGAGGAGTAGGAGGCCAGTTAGTGGCTCCTCTGCCGACTTCCGCTGCCCAGATGAAACACTGGGTCACAATGATGTGGCACCCAGCAGCCAGCAAGGAACGAAACCAGCCATCACAGGCCGTCCACCGCTCCTGTTCCTTCGCAGGAACAAAACTCGGGGCTGGATTTCCAACCTCACTGGGGCTGGACGGAGGGGCCTCTGCACAGTGGGTGCTCTGCTCCCCCTTGCCTGCAGCCCCTGAGACCAGGGCCTGTGCTTTTTTTTAAAGCTCTTATATAGAACGAAGATAGTGGCTATCTCTTTGGGGAGACAGAGTGCTGGAAAGGTTGCAGGGTGTCTGGGCGGCTGCGTGTGTGGTTGTCATTCCCTCGTGAACACTCGGGGGGCTGTGCTCACATTGGGTTCACTCTCTGTGAGCGTGTGCTCAGTCTGCAAAGTCAGCATGTGACCCCAAGGAAGGACCAGAAGGCCAAGGGGGCTGGCCTGCCACCCGGGGGGCTCTGGGGCAAGTCTCCCACATACTGTCACCGCTGCCTTGGTGGCAGAGCACCCGGCAAATCAAACTCCAGTTGATTTCCAAAGAGCTTTCTAAAAGAACATAATTAGATTAGAACGTTACACTTGTTAATTTTTCAGTTGCTCATTAAAATTGACACGTCATTTGATTTTGACAGAAACCTTTTTATCTTGATGTAAGGTGGTAGGATAAAAAAAATAAAGCTATATTTAGGAAATTCTGAACTATGACAACTGCAATAATGAAACTGAAACCTGTCTCCGTCATTCACACTGAAGAATCCGAAGTAAACTGTTCCTCCATCACCTGGAGAAGAAAGCCAACTGGGGTGCGGTCCTTACTAAAACTTTTTAAATGTGAGTCCGTCATCAGAGGAAAAACCCAGCATGCAGATGGTGAGTCCCCTCCACTGAGAACTCCCAAAAGAGGCGACTGTGCTGTGACACCTGTTTTAGAACTTGTTCTGCTTGAGCTGGGCAGGGCGGCTGACTCCCATCATCCCAGCTACTCAGGATGCAGAAGCAGGAGGAACACAAGTTCAAAGCCAGCCTTGGCAACTTAGGAAGAGCTGTCTACACTAAAATGAAGGAAATTAAGATAAAATGAAATAAAATGGTCTAGGGATGCAGCTGAGTGCTCCCTGAGTTTAATTTCCAGGGCAAGAAAGAAAGAAAACCAAACCAAAAAACCCCAAAACCAAATCACTCTGCTTCCCTGTGCACAAACGAAACCTCTCTGTCCTTGTCTAATGCAAATGTTCTGGGGTCGTGTTTCTATATTGAGAGGACCTGAAACGCTGACAGAACCACTGGGTGGTGACCATCGGGCCAGAGACAGAGGGGACACACAGAGAAAGCAGAGCTGGGGTCCGAGTCTCTCTAGTGTAATGGCTATGTGCCCAGGGGCAGGACAGCTCATTCTCACACCTCTGGATTCCCGTCTGTGAAGAGAGTGAAGGCACAGCTTTGTGCAAAGCCATCTCCCTGAGCATCCAGCACCTGTGCTGTCCCATGTGGCCAGCAGGGACAGGCTTCCTTCGGGGAGGTGGTGGGGTGACAGGGTCCCGCCTGCAGTGACCAGGAGATTGATACTGCCCCTCGGTCTCCTCTGGCTCCACCAGCCAGGTGAGAGACCTGGGAAAGGTGGAGCCCTGCGAGGGGAGAGTGCAGGAGGGGTCACTGCCATGCCTGGGCCATGACAAGGGCTTGTGGAGCCCCTGGGTGTTCTGGGTTTGCTGTCGTAGCAGCCAATCAGCAAGACCACGCTGGCAGAGGTGGGACAGAGAAGACCAGAGATGGCCAAGCATGTGCTGTCCACACGGCAGGCGCCTGGTGAGTCTGTGTCCCTGTCTTCTCTCTTGGTGTTAAAGAGTCCCTGGCTCTGCAAGTGGAAGCCTTTGACTCAAGAGGGGCTTGCCCCGGACTGAGGTGCTTCCTGGGGTCCAGGCCCTGCTGAGCCCCTGGTGACCCGCTTCTACTGTGTCCTCCATCTCTCGGAGGAGCCTGCAATAAGTCACCAGAATCTTGCTTCCCAGCAGGGCTGTCTTGCCTAAGCCTCTCTCCCACACTTCTCTAGCGGGTCCTCCAGAATCCCATGAGAGCTCTTGCAAAGCCGCAGATGCTGCCGCCCAAGCCCATCCCCGGCTTGTCCTGTTGCCCGGTTTCCAGTGCCAGAAACTTCCCATTGAGTTAAATTACACGGGGCGGGGATTTAGCAGACGGGTGGGAGGCTGAACCAGGAAATCATGCCCTGTGAGTCTGCAAAGGTACCACTTAAGCTTCTCAGCAACGGAGGCATTCAGAAAGTGACGCTGAAGCCTGGCTGGGGGAGCCGGCCTGTGGGTGTTCACCGCGAAAGACTGAATTTTAGCGGAAGCGCGAGGGCTGGGGAGGGTGAAGACGGGCAAAGAGGAGCCACGTCTGTGTGGATGGTTTGGGTTTGCTGTGAAAAGGTGGAATGGAGAGTCTGCTTATTGTTTAACTGGAGTGTTATCTAGCAAGGGAAAATAAAATCTCAGGAATGTCTGTTTACAAGACTTTAATTTCGAAGTGGTCTGAGACTTGCGGATGTTCCGAATGTGGTCGGGAAGTGGCCTTCCTGCGTTTCTCTCCCCTGACACCTAACGAGGGCTGCTCCATGTCGCTGACCCCGAAGTACCACAGATCAACCCCTGCAGGCCTCGTCTGGATCTTGCCAGGCTTTACACCTTCCTTTAAGTGGATGCATTTGAGTCACTTTATTGTGAATATTCCTCTGGCACAGAGGCATTTCCAAGTGGAAATTCGGTTTCTCCTCCACAGTCTTCTCCCATCAGCTGCATAAACAAAGGCAGAAGGGCTGACAAGAAGCCGCTGAAGTTCAGCTCGGCTGGTTTTTGTCATAGCCGTGAGGATGGTGTCACTAAGCAGACCCGGGCAACGCGCAGATCCACGCCCATATAAGGCTGCTCTGCTCTGGGCTCATAACCGGAGAGCACATGACCCCATGCCTGTCACTGAGGCCATCACCCCTGGACCTGCTCTTTCTCCTGGCCGGCTCTGAGGGGAAGGGAGGGACAGACAGCAGCAGCCCCTCGGCGTGCACAGATGTCAGTCCAAGCCCTGCTCCTCCTTCTACAGAGCTCTGCCATTTTAAGGCAAAGGCTGACCTCTGGTGGTGTCGCCCTATCCCAGGAGGAGCGGAGCTCTCTGACAGTTTGGCTGCTGGGTTCTAGGACAGGAGCAGAAATACACGGTCTCCACAATGTAAAGGCTGGACCCTTGGCACCTTCTTCCCGGGCGCCCCATGGTCACCTGGCCCCTTCTTCAGGTGGCCGTCACCAAGGCTTAGCCTGGTGGCTTCCAGGGCTCTCGGTGTCCTTTACCTGGTTGTGCTCACCACTGTCTGGAAGTGTGTGAGTGCATACGCTGCAGCCTTTACCAAAGACATAGCATGGAGCAAGACCTCTGTGCTTCTGAGTACGTGCGCCTGTGTGTGCACGTGTGTGTGTGCACGTGTACGTGTGCATGTGGGAATGTGCACTGCCCATTTATGTGTGTGCTCATGTGAGCACTTGTATGTGGGCAGGTGTGTCCTGACACTTCTGAACTGAGTTTGGGTCTCTGACCTGCTTTTTAAGGCGGACCACTCGGATACCTGCAGAGCCATCTCCTTTCGGGCCTGGTACCGAGGTCAGGATTTCTAGCACCACTACTGCGAGTGTTCACCATGCAGAACCAAGCACAAGGTGTCTCCTGGCCATGGATACCCTGTTTCTTCTGTATCAACTTCACTGCGGTGAGGACCAGGCAGATGCTGCTTTGCTCCAGGCCATGGCCCCAGGAGGGCTCTGCTGTCCTCTCCAGCTCCCCATGAAAGGATAAAGGAAAACCCTGAACCCTTGGCCTTGGCCATGCCTGCGGCTGACCTCTGGCTGCTCCAAGTGTCTCCCTTGAGCAGCATATTTAAAGCCAGCCTTCCCCTCAGGCACACCGGAAAGGGCACTGGGCAGGGCTCACAGGGTCCTGCCTGTCTCTCAAGGGCGGACCCACGGCACCTCTCTAGAGAAGGTGAGAGGGCGGCAAAGCTCAGTCTGGAGCAGGCAGCAGTTCCTAGGCATCGTCTCTATGGCTGCTCCCCTGACGTCCTGGTTTGCTTCCCCTGAGCTGTGAGTTTCCACTTCGGGTTCCCTGGGAGCAGAGGCAGTTGTCAGCTGTGCCAAGAGGCAGGGGCAGAGGCTGCTGAGTGGATGTTACCTGCCCCTGAGGATGAGCCCACTTTGGCCCCTGCTGTGCCAGGAATAAAGCTCAGGTAGATCTGTGCTCTGCTGTTTTCTCAGAACCCTGGCAGGCCCAGCCACTGCCCCCTCTGCAGTGATGCTGCCAGGCTGTCCCTCTTCTCACCGCGCAGAAGTCACCCCTGCCTGCTCAGGGACCTTGGGCCCATGTCTGAGCCATTTTTGGAAGTTGGAGCCTGGCTGACGAAAGGTCCTGGTGTCTGGAGGGTAGAGGTCAGGCTGCTGCCGAGCAGGCGGCAGTATGCAGGATGCCCGGTCAGGCCAGCATGTCTACAATAGGAGGGGCACATACCGATGCTCACAAAGACTGATCATCATAGGTTCTCATAAAATCTTCCTATTAAAAAAATTTCAAATTTGGGGGTAATGGCGGAGGGAGGGTCAGAGAAAGAAAAAGCAATAAACAAAGGTTTCACCTTAAGAATGTCCCATGGACATATAAATCCCACTTCCTTTCTGTTCCTCCATTTAAATATTCAGCAGCAGGCAGGAGCGCAGGCTCATGTGTGCCACCAGCATCACGAACTGACTGTCGCACAGCTGTGTCCCCTGTCCCTCTGCCTCCTGTAAGAGGCGTAGATTTAATTAATTTATCAGTTGTTTTCCTTTGTTCCAGTTCAAGTTCAATTAGTTGGATTAAATGGCATAATGGATATGAAAAAGCTTTGAAAAGAGTTAAAGCGCGACACACATATAAAGTGTCATCATGGAAACCGTGCAAAGCATTTGTCCCAATTACAATCACACCAGATGTGCTGGGGAGGCAGCAGTGGACCCGGTGTGGCGGGAGGCTTCGGGATTCACAGCCCCCACGCATCCCTTGGACCACACACGGCTTTCTCCAAGTTCAGGCCCAACGGCTTCCTTTTCATTCTGCCCCCAGGTAAAGTTGACATCTGTCTTCGGACACCAAGCCCACTATGTGTGGACAGTGTGGTCCCCGTGGCTGGTTTTGCTTTGTTATTAGAAACCGTCTTTTGCAGGCACACTGTGGGTTACTTGTTCAGTAAAGCAAAGCTCGGCATTGCAACGCCATGTGCGAAGGATCAGGGGTCTTCCTGGTCAGTAAAGGAGTCCCCCACTAACAGGTGATGCAAGCAAAGTTACCCACAGCGATGGCCTGGGAGGCAGGGGGACCGTGTGTCCTCCCCAAGCACTGAGCAGCACTGAACAGTGCCTGCCCCTCACACCTGCTATTTGTCCCAAAGGCGACCATGACAATGCCCAGAAGCCCATTTTCTGTGGTCCCTACCAGCTACAACCTGTCCAGGTGCTTATGGCAAAGGTGACTGGTGGCAGAAGTGTTCACAAGGTGCAAGCTCAGCGGGCACGGGCCAGGGCTTTCCTGATCCACTGGGAGGGGCAGAAGGGCTGTCTGTGTGAGCGGCCTATGTGCTCAGGTGGCCCTTGCCACACAGCATGTGTGAGAGGGCCTCGCTCAGTGCGGGTGAAATGTGCTTGCTTTCATGGAGCAGCCCTGGGGCTCTGCCACCCAGAATGCATTTGCTCAGGAAGTACACCCAGGCCGGAGCTCAAGCAGGGCTCCTGACGGTGAGCAGAGACAGAGCACCGAGCCATGGCCCCGAGATGGGGAGGAGGTGCACGGGTGAATGGCCAGTGCTAGCCAGCTGTGGGCAGCTGGGTTCACCCATCCATGAGCTGGCGGGGCTGAGGAAATGGGGACCATGGCGGTGGAAGGTGACCAGGCCAGCTGTGAGCAGCACTTCCTTGGGTCCCTGGGCCCTGTGGAGCCCCCAGCTAGACAGTGGGGCTGTGTCTTCAGAGGCTGGTGTAGCAGGGCTCTGCTGTGCCCACAAGACAACAGCTTTGCAAGCTTTCCCCACCCCTCTTAAAGCAGAAAATGCAGAGGCCCAGGCCCTCTCCCGTGGTAAGATGGGGGAGAATCCACTGGCAGGAGAACCTGACACTAACCAGCAAGAGGCGAGAGGCATTGGGATGGGGCGGCCTCGGTCCTGGGCCGCCTAGAGAGCTTCTGGGCAGCCGCTGCCCATAGCAGGGGTGGGCAGTGCCACCCACTTCTGTAGCTTGCCTGACTGAGGGGAAAAATGAATCAATTAATAAAAACAAATTACCTTTTACTAAGTTAAATAAAAGCTAATATAAATGAAGTCGCTGTGTGCATGGCAGATTTATGCTAACTATAACCATTCCATTCCAAGATGGGATCGTTTGAATGTGATATTAAAAAAGATCAAATTAAACTTTAATGAATGCAACACTCAGTGTCAGGAACAGCACGCCGGGCCCTCTGCAGTGGCACAGACCCCATGATGGGTGAGGCCACTGCCTGGACTCTGGGCTGCCGGGAGGGCAGGGTTGCGGAGAGGCTCTGGCGCCCCAGTGGCCGGCTCCTTGCAGCCTCCCTTCAGCCCCTGCTGCGGGTCCTGTCCTGCATACCATGGTGGGCAGGGGCCCAAGTCAATACGGGGACACGAGTGCCAGACACCCCAGGCCCCTCGACTTCCTTGGGCTTGAGACAGCAGAACACCTGCTACTAAGAAAGGATTTAAAGGTCAGTTCAGAAATGGGCAGAATTAACACCCTGAGCTTCTGTCAGCTCTGCCAAGACCGGTGCTCACCTCTGGCAGGAGGAACCCAGGGCACGAGGGATACTGCGGCTCTGGCTGTGGATCAGCATCCTCGTTCCAGAGGCGCTGGGCACATGTTTGTCCTGAGGCAGCTCCGAGGCCACACGGGGCTGGGACCTGGGCTGCTGTCGCACATGCGTGGAGCACAGTGGGAGGATGCAGGCGCCAGGCCTTCCCGGCGGGGGTGAGTTTTCCCCAGATCAGAACAGAACACGTTTTAGGGTTCTCAGTGAATCCTGATAAGGGGTTCAGGTCCCTGTGCTGCGAGGAGGCCCTGCTGCAGTCCTGCTACCTCCATCTCGCCTGCCCTTCCAGGCCACCTCTGGAGGGTCCCTCCCAATCTGGCACCGACCGCCCCATTCCCCTCCAGGTATGGTGGTGATATTCCTATTATCTCAGCCAGGCTGGCAGCTCCTTGGGCTAAAGATGTCTCTGAGGGGTGGTGGTGGGGCTTGGGCCTTTGGGATCTGGGGCACCCTGGTGGCGCTTCATGTGGCAGCTCCATCCCTGACCTGGGGGAGGTAAGGTCAGCACGGCCTCATGGGACTGCCCAGAGGGCCCCAACCAAATGCTAAGTGGGCACCTGAGCCCCGGAAGGACCTGGCGGCGCTCCTGACACGGCCCTTTCTGTGCTGAGCCCATCCTGATGCGGAGCAGAGATAGCTCACTTCACACTCCTCCCACTGCCTGAGGAAGGCCCCAGGATGATTGCTTTACCAAGGAGGCACAGAGAGGCTCAAGAACCAGTTCAAGGTCACACAGTATCCAGGGTGGCCCTGGGGCCTGAGCCCGGTCATGGATTTTGGATTCTGGGTTTCCGACTGGAGGCTGCATCTCCTCTCTGTGCATAGCACCTGCGTGGAGGGGTCCCACGGTGGCTGGGGCCTTTGCCAGCAGCTGCCTCCAGCCTGGCACTCCACTGCCCTCTGGGTGCTGTCATTCCCACTTGGTACACTGGAGGCATAGACCAGCCGGGCGAAACAGGGCCTCTCTGCTGCGGGCACCGGGCAGCACAGCTCCCACCAGAGGTGCCCGGCAGACATGGGCAGGGGACTGCTGCAGCACGCTGTCTTGATACTCAGTCGGAGGAAACTGCCGACCACTGCAAGAACAATCATGATTTCTTGAAAGGTTCTGAGGACTCTGGGTGGTTTCTGCTTGGGGAAAATTCAAGGGCACCCCAGAAAGGGCCAGGTAAGCCGGGCCATCGAGTCTCCTCCCATGCACAGCACACGTACCCTGCAGGAAGGCAGCACTAGACTTGCCTGGCCAGCTGTGTGCCTCCGGGGAAGGGCAGACAGGGTCTGCAGGCTGCCTGGGGCAGACCCAGGAACGAAGGTAACAAGGCCCCTGGCAGGCTCAAAAGATGAATGCAGTGTTCTCAACGTATTTCAGGGTGAAAACCACAAAAGGAGCTCATGGCAGCCGCAAGGGCCAGATCAGAGCGTGACCACGGAGTCCTGTCCTAGCACGCCAGGTGCTGCCACCTTGTTTACTCTCCAGGAGCCTAGGGGTGGCACCTCCAGAGTCCTCCCTCACACCCTGAGGTCAGGAGGGACAGTTGTACTCCTGGCCACCCGTGCAGCAGTTTCTCTGAAGGCCCACACAGCCCCACTTCGAGACCCAGCAGCTGTGCCCCAGAAGCACGAGCCCCAAAGGTGCAAGATCACGGTCACCACAGGAGACACCTAAGCCTCAGCTCTGCAGCTGGATGCTGAACATGTCCCAAGGGGACAGTGTCCCAGGGACGACTAAATCCACAGAGCTCCCAGCTCTCACCGTCATGTTGGCCTAAAGAAGCCAGACACAAATGACACTATTTACCTGTAGCTGGGTCAGGCAGAACGGAGGTTAGACCCAGAAGTCTGGGTGGTCTCCCTTGGGAGGGGGAGGTGACTACAAGGGGCCTGGGGATTCCTGGGGCAGACTTTGTATGTGCTGATCCCAACGGCCACTTTGGGTCTCAGGCTGAGAACAGGGCCGAGCACCATTTACACATGTGTGTGTGCCATTATCTGAGGAACAAGTCCCATGTTATAAAAACAGGACTCCTGGCAGGAGACCCTCACTCTTGGCAGGGGAGGTGGCCGGATGAGGGCGGACACCCCCAGAGCAGGAGGCGCTGCGCCACAGATCAGGTTTCCTAAAACGGTGTGGAGCTGAGCAGCATCGGGCTCTGAGCTGGGAACGGTGCCCATCCTGCTATTTTTAGAGAGTCCCCCAGAGCAAGGCCCGGGTCTGACATTTCATCCTGAGCTGGCGCTGCGCCCTGTGTCATTACAATCAGTCCAGCCTCTCCCACGGTCTGATATTTTGCTTTAAAATAGCTCAGCCACTAAGCTTTCTGCCAAAGAACTTGTAAGTCGTTTTCTGTGGCGCTGGGACCCAGGGATGCAGGTCTGACGATGCGGTTTCAAAAGGGGCAGGGACGAGTGCAGGTCCTGCTGTCAGACTGCCCCAGACACATGAGCCCTACTGGCTCTCTCAGCCTCAGTTTCCAGGTCTGTGAAGCGGAAGGTCTCACAGTTCTTGGTTATGACTCTAAGAGATGAACACAGAGCTCCTTGAGTGGTGTTGGACAGAGGCCACAAATGGACACGCTGGCCCAGGGCTCTGCACACAGATCAAGGATGCTGGCGGTGGAGAGGAAGGGGACACCCATGGCCACTCCTGCTAGGGTGGGGCATGCTGCCCCTGCTTCACCACAGCCCCGGGGCACACCACCTGTAGCAGCTGCTTGAGATTGAGACACAGCCTGTGTCCCACCCCTGAGACCACAGCATGGCAGTGCGGTGGGCAAACGCCTGTGGCAGGGTGGTGTCGGGGACAGAGCAGAGCTAGGGGCCAAGGGAGTCTGTGTGCAGCCCGGGAGCAGCTGGTGAGCAGCACCGAAGCAGAGGAGACCGTGGAGGACGAGCCTGGGTGGGGAGAGCAAGGGCTCCAGGGTAGATTCCAGCAAGAACAAAAAAGCCCGATGCAGTTATGTGGCCGTCCTGGTAACTGTGTATAATCGTTTGCTTTCCCAGGTCTGCTCAGAGAGAGGCAGCACCCAGCCTGAAGCCCTGAGTGCTGAGCGCAGACCCTGGTCCCAGGAATTCCACACATCTGTTCCTGGAGTTCTCCTGCAGAGCGACCTGGCTTGCTTCCATCTTTACAAAGGACAGAGGGAGGGAGCCTGGCTGCTGACCATGGTCACAGCCCTTAGCGGAGAGAGGCAGCCTCCTCCGCCATGCTGCTGTTACCCCCAGCCTAAGCAAGTCAGCTGTGGACAGCAGTGTCCCCTGTGCGTGGCATCATCACACAGAATGAATACAAGGTGACCCGCCACAACCAGGTGCCCAGTGGCAGTGGGCAGCGGGTAGGACCTGCACAGCTCCCGACAACTCCGGGATTCTAAAGCTTTTCTATTGTTTGGCAAAGGTGAAAGTGAAACTGGTCCAGATTAAATAATTTTAAAAATCCAGCTCCCTTTTCTTTCAGCTCAGCATAGCACGGATATGTGCTCTGGGCCAGACACTTTGGCAGAAGCACGGGGGTAGTAACGGGGGTCACATTTGCAGGCAAAGGACCCACCCAGGCCTGCTGGCCCCAGGGCTGCGCGATGGCACAGGTGGACTTGTCCTCGCCTCCTCGTGCTGCTGAACTTCGCCACCCCTAGAGACACCGCATTTCTACCACCTACCCGCTCCTGACCACAGTTCAGGAGCTGCTTGCAAGACAGTGAATGTTTGAGCCAAAATCCCATCTGTATTTCCCGAGGCAAAATAAATCTATGGCTCTCAACTCAGCTGCGGCATGGAGGGTCACGTGCACGTATCACCTGCCACCTTTGGGCCCAGGTAACGTTTAGCTTCAGTGAAGATGTGGCCGCTCAATCAATGTTGCAGCCCTTTCACAGGCCAGAGATGGGAGTAAGGACAGGGAGCAGTGACTTGAAGGCCAGGCCCTGAAGCTGGGGCCAGGAGGGGTGGACAGGCAGGGAGGGGCGGCTCCACTGCACAGCCCACTAAAGACACAGAAGGCCAGGCAGCAGCCATCGGATGTTTGTGAGCTGTTTTCAAAGAAAAGAAAGTGGGTTGGGTTTCAGCAATCAGACTCCCTAGAGGACAGGCGGTGTCATATAAGGTGCACACAGAGAGCTGCATCTGGCGCCATCCAGGGCCACAAGATTCCCGGCCAGGCTCCCCCAGGACGGCAGCGGACACCAGGATTGGTGTCTCCTTCCTGGTGCTGTGGGTGACACAGGACGCTCCAGAACAGCACCGGAACCTCCACAGGCGCCATGTCGTTGAGGTGCTGACGGCCTTGGAAGGGAATTGGCGCCGCCACCCTAACCCTCGTGGCATCACGGCCTCTGGCTTCATCAGGCCATCAGAACTGAGAGGTCCTGGGGGCAGGAAGAGCCACAGCTGGGGCTCCAGCTCCACGGGCCAGGGCCCAGGGGACTCGAGAGGAGATGCAGCATGCCGACTGGGGTTTTCAGGTTCCCGAGGTCACTGACTTAGTGGATGGTGTAGCTTCCACTGTGGGCTCTGGAATGGGAGGAACCATGTCCTTTAAAAATAGAAATGAAGAAAAACCTGCCATTCTGCTCTTACTAGTAAAAATAATTCAGATTGATAGACAGGGTTTATAGTCTGCCAAAAGAAACCACCTAACAAAGAAAATAACCTCAATTACCAGGTCCCCATCTCCAGGAACGGCGAGGAGTCCTCTGTCAGGAATCGAAATTCCACAGCAGAGGTTCTGGGAGGAGGAAGAGGCAGGTTTGCTCCTGCAGCCTAGGAGCTCAGGTGCCCAGCAGCCCGCCTGCCCAGGTCACTGTTAGCCCTGAATTACACAACCAGCATCCCTGGGATCGCCACTCCTGTCTATCCGGTTAATCTTCAGAGGCCTGAAACGTCTGTAAGTGATCGCTTGCGGAGGGACTTCCGCCCTTCTCCCGACACGGTTCTCTCTGATGACCCACTTTTGGTCTTCTCTGCGCCAGCCCTTGGAGAACTGGGTCATGAAGAGTTTCGGTGATGGATGTTTTAATAGACGCAGCCGTTCGGGTTCCCAGTCCTCCAGGCCTCGCACAGGAGAAGTGTAATGAGAACCCGAAATGGGCAACTCGGAGCAGGCTACGCTTAGTGGAGACAACCAGGTCTCGTTGTCCCCAACCCTGGGAGATGCTTGCGAGCCTGGCTATAAGAACTCTTGGGGTTGCTTCTCTGGAGCACAGGTTGGAACACAGACGCACACCCTGAGTCCAGCTTCCTAGCGCAGGACAGGAGCCTCCTCCTGATTTATGACTTTGATGGTCATTAAGAGCCAGCAGCCTCGCCTACTTCCAGGGATCACAATGGGTTTGGTTTGCAACAGAAAGAAAGGAGAAGAAACCAACGAGATGAAGGGGTTCTGGCTCCCCGTGAAATTTCAGAACCCGGCAGGCGAGTGGCACAGTGCTCAGGGGCAGGTGGAGAGAATGTTTCCTCGGTAGGCATCTTATCAGGGAGGGAGGGATTTTCCAGACATTTATTCCACAGGGTATCTATGAAAAAGTGAGTTTCATAATTTATCGTATCAGCTTCCCCAGGGCAGGGAATCAGTGTTGAAGGTCAGATAGCAGGAGCGCAACTCTGCTTCTGATGAAGACACCGGGGCTCTCTTGAGTGTCTGCCGGGTACTCGCCAGCCACTAAAAATCTCTCAGGCCTGTCTTTCTCCACCTATGAAACAGCCACAAAGTCGCCTCGTGCATAAACATATCTTATGACTTGTGAGCATATTTCTAAGAAACTACAAATTGTCTTAAATGAAAGCTGCAAAGTGTGGGGTGCTGGTCAAAGTGGAGGTGAGCTGCTCTGGGGATCTTCCTGGTGGCAGGAAGGGTGCGTTTCTTAGCCCAGGGCCTCCTGTAACACATCTGCTGTGGCGGAGGGTTTTCTAAATGAGTTTTCTGTTTTGGAGAAATATATGGGAGACACAGAACCACAGATTTAGAGAAACTTGGGAGGGGTTGAAGAAGACTTAAGACATCTTCTGGGACCCAAGCGTCAGCTTCTAGGTGCTGGTGCTGTGTGAATCTGCACTGTCCCCCAGTGCAGGTGGTGACGGTCCAGAGACCAGGTCTTCCTGCCCCATCTGTGCCTTCAGCTTTACACCCTGAGGCCCATTTCCCCTGAAATAGTTTAGGACACACCCCGTCACCACTGTCACCACTCATGCCATCCCCCAAGCAAGCCCACCCCCACTGTGGCCATCTGGTCCTGAGTCGGTCACTAGCTCCTGGTCCTCTGGGGGCCACTCAGTGGGCAGAGACAGTGGCAGAAGTGTCACATGGAGAATGCATTTCCTTCACAGGATGCTGCCAGGATGCAATGATAAGTATGCCCCCCATCTATGTCTCCAAACCTCCACAAACCCCCATCCCTGGACAGTGACCCCCATCCTGTGACGGGAGGCACTCACAGGTGTTCAGTCACAATCCTAGGGACAATTTGCAACTCCGCTGTCCCAGCCCTCTAAATACCACAGCACACACCAAGCGCGTGGTCCCTCCGGTGTTTTTCCCCGGTGTCACTCAAAAGGCACTCCTGGAGGATAAGAGGCTAGTTGTTTCAAATCACTAAAGTTTTGGCTGAAGATCTTTCTGATAAGATTTTCAAACAACGTTAAATGAATAACACTCCACCAAAAAACACAGGCAAAGCTACACAGGCTTCAATAGGAAAATTTCCAGTGCTGAGGATAGATGCAGCTGATATTTACAACGCTTTCCAAACGATGCTAACCCAGCCATTAGCCACGTTTACAACAGAGTCTAACGAGAACCTTTACCATATGGAAAATCCCGCCCCTTCCCTCTTCCTTTTCCCCACTAAATGTGGCAGCCAGTGAGCGGCACCAGCTGGTGCTGCGGGGCTGCACCTCTGCGTCTGGAGAGGGGTGTCGTCTTTCCTGCAGGCTTCAGCAGTCCAGGTGACGCTCGGCTGCTGGCCCGGCCCAGCGGGCTCTGTGCTCCAGTCTATCCTCCCCAAGCTACCACCTCGCTGGCCCCAGCCTTCCCATGTCTGTCCCCTTTAGCCTTCAGGCCCCCAGCACAGAGGTCTCCCAGGCCTCCTCCGCCCCTTCCGTCCCTTCCCTGTGCTACTCTTCTGTGCAGCCAGGAGTTTCTTAGCCCCGCTCCCCATTTCAGGCTCATCTGCCCTCTGCCCCACCTGGATTCCTTCTCCCCCAGAGCCTTGCTGAACCCTCAAAGCCCGAGTCTCTTTCTAGCTTGATGTGGTTGGCAGTGTGGCAATGTCTTAGCCACTGCTCACGGGATGGAGGGCAGTCCCTCGGGGGGCGCAGGTGGGAAATGAATGGTGGATTTCTGAGAGCTGGGATTGGCTCTCGGGACCTACTTAGACACTGACTATGGGGGTCCATTAGCACCCTGTGTCCCTGGTCTTTCCCTACAGTGCAGCAGATCACCACCTGCAGGGGGACGATTGAGCAGTCCACCCACCCGTCTTCCAGGGATGATCCCTAGAACCCAGGCTGGAGACCCCAGGTGCCGGAGCCTGCCAGGGAGTACCTGCCAGGGAGCCCCCATAGTACCTGGTGCTGGTGCTGGTGGCCAGCACATGGTGGTAGTGCCGTGCCTGGGGTCACACAGAAGTCAGGGCTGCAGAGGAGGGGGACAGCCCAACTCTCCCTGCTTTTCTGAGCCATGTGCCAACTAAGATGGGAGTCCTCCTTGCCTTCTGGGTGTTAGGTGGTAAGTCAGTATCACCTTGGGGCAGCCCCATATGTGCTGGGGTTCAGTGGCAGCCAAGGGCAGATGACAGTCTCGCCTCAGAGGAAGCAGTGCTCCCAGCACAGGCCACAGCTCCATTCTCTCTGCACTGCAAAACTCATCCCACTGGCCTGCGGCTGGTGTTGAAGTGCCTCTACTCCTTGCTATGAGCTCCGCTGCCACTTCCTCTGCAGGGATCCCAGAGCCTGGGCCCAAGCTGTGACCTCTTTGTCCTTGATCTACTGAGGCCACTCTGCACTCAGGGAAGTGACCTTCCTGCATAGTCACTCACCATGGTACTGGCCGGCAGAGGGCCCAGCAGCACTGTCTCCTGGGGTTCAACCTCTAACATGACGAGGTGCCTTCTCCAGGAGTCTGCCCCCAACACTAGGGTCCCCAGAGTAGGGACATGGGCAGTCTGGCGTCTCCAGGATCCATGACTCTTCCATCCAGGATGCAGCACTGAGACGGTGCTTGCTAGGCTATCAGCTGGCTGACTGACCATATAAATAAATCTTTATTGACACACTGAGGCTGGTCACGTCCCTACAAGGGGAGAGAGCACGTTGCTCACGTGCACCAATGGTGTGTACACAGAATAGAGTGTCCGTGCGCTCAGCAAGCTTCTCCCCACGGTGGAATAGTGCGTGACTTAAGTGATCTTGTTTTTATTTTTTACATGAGCCTATCAGTGTAGAATAG